AGCTTTGGTAATACCCATGTGAAGGAGCAGACAAATTCATTGACAAAGAAAGAAGTGGTAAGGCAGCAAGGGTGTCCCAGTACAAAAGCCTGATGTAAATTTCTCCATAGATACCAGACCCTACTACAGCCATTTACAAAGTTGTATGGACTATACCTAACTGCAAGTCTTTGACAGCCCTCCGAACTGCCTGCTCCTCATCCATCACTCACTAAGGGAGAGAGTACCAAATTACTCAACACTATGCAAAATAGCTTAAAATACACAAAATTAAAAAGGCATTAACTGGGCATACTTTATAAGTAAAATTATAGCTGCTACACAGAAAATGGAAAGTGAGGAAGAAAATGAGAGAAAAATAATTTCTTTCACGACGATTTGCCTAACTCACCCTAAACAGGAACTACATTGCTATCTGCAATACCAAATTTCACCCTTGTAAACACAGAAGTCTATCAGAGCAAGAATTAAAAACAGAGCATGACCCACCTGAGGTAGCTTCTTGTGAGCACAGTTTACTCCACTAACCATAATCATGTTGGGCATCAATGGTCTCGGATAATCTAAGGCAAAATCTAACCTAATGAGCCAAATGGAAGCCTGGCGTGAGAGATCCAGCACAGTCACATCCCGCTGAAGGAACTCAGAAGCCAGTTTTGCGTATGGTTGAAAGACAAAATCACAGAGAAAATAATTTGGGATGTCAAAGATTAGATTCTTCACCCGCTGGAGAAAGTTCATGTGGTCCGTGTGCTCTGTGAACATCCTGGGGACATATGAAGGGGGATTGGGACACTGAGTGGCTTCAAATTCTAAACCACATGGTGTTCCGCGCAAAAAAACCACGGAAGGGACTGAAAGATGCTCTGCCAGGATCTGCCCACATGGCAGAATTGGATCTGTAAAGACAGCATCAAACTTACTCTCCTCAAGATATCTGACAAGCTCTTTGTTGTACAGTAAGTGTGCACAGGTAGAAAGAGTAATGGCAGAGATGCTTTTCAGTCTTTGGTATGCTTTAAGAAATCTTTCCAGAAAAAATCCTTCTGCAAATATATCCTGTGAAAAAGAATGGATACTTCCATCTATCTCTTCCTTTGTGAAGGGTATTGGATACATTTTCATAATAAAATTCTCTGATGGTTTTATATGTATGTTTATTTCAGGTGCAACAACAACTATTTCATGTCCCTTCTGCCTGAGACCATCCAACACTTCCCGCATGCTGAGCCAACGACTCCCATCCACCGGCACCACCAGCAGCTTCCCACCAGCAGCGGAACTGACCACAGACAGGAGCAGAACCAGTGTCGCCACGACGTGCGGATGAGTGCTACACACCGGGGCCATTTCTGCAGAAATCTGGTGAGTGCTGCCCAGAAAGAATATTCCCAGCTCCATGTTTTTAAGCAATCTGTGCTGTGCTTTCCTGGGATGATCTTTAGACTTATTTGCTGTGTGGTAAATGTATAACCATGTGTATGTCAAAGACAGAATAATAGGTGTTAAAGTACAGCCAATGTGGCGGACAGTAATCAGAGCAGTAGCTAGACTGGGAAACACCCACCTCTTTGTATTGGAGGACACTGGGATTTAAGAAAATGGGGGATCCTTCAACAAGTGTTCTGCTCCAAAGTGCTAATTAACAGATCACGAATTTTCCAAACAAGAATTTTAAGTATATGAAAATTCCTTTCCTCCTGCCAGTCCAAATCATTTTCTATTTGTAAAAGTTTAGAAAAATATTAACGCTTCACATGGGAAATAGTCTGCTGTCTTTACCAGTTTTATATCTTGACATTGTAATGCAAATGGAAAATTGGCTATCAAAGTTCATTTCCCTGAAAGGCCTCTTTGTGGAAGGATGAAGTACGGGCTGGAAGGAGGAAGAACAGGGGCATCATTTTTGCCAGATAGTTTTAAAACTGGATTAGCAACTCAGAAATACTGTTCTAGATCAGCCTGCAAAGAGCATGCCCCAGGGCCATGAAAGCAAACAACACTAATGCATAGACAGGATTTGCAGTCAGCCCTAGTTATGAAAATTATTGCACAGAAGTAATTCTGACCACACAGCAATTTACTATGAAGGTTGATATGCACCAGAATTTTTTTAAGGACATTTACTGAACTACTGCAGCCCTAGGTACACCTTTTGTAGGGACTTTTCAGAACACAGTGTAAGCTGTTGCAGATGCTGCATGCTGGCTAGCAGCTACATAAACCTGCAACAGTTTTGCAGAAAATTTTGTAAGGAACCCATGTGGTGAAAGGATAAGCCTAGACTGACAAAGCAACCAGAATGTTACCTGCCAACTGACGCATTACGACTTTTTATTTCTAAATTTTGAAAGGATGGTTTTATTAACTGAAAAGATTAATTGTTTTTAAAAATGAACTATGACAGTAAAGCAAATGGTTTCAAGTAATAATACTGATCTGGCAAATACAAGCAGCAGACCTGCCTGGTAAGACAGGGATCACCCTCACTGGTGGGTATGAGCCTCATTAGCAAGAGTACAGTCATAAACTACTTCTACCTAGCCCAAAGAAAACAATTGTGTAAGCAAAAATGCTTAGATCCTGCTAATGCTATAGCAGAGTACTTGCAAAAGTGAGAGAGAAATGAAATCAACCCGGGTTTTCACCTATTTTCTTTGTCTTTACAGTATACCTTACTGCACATATAAAACCCACGAACTTGTATACAATTATATACACACAGAGCATTTGCAAACAGCATTTTCTCTTCAAACCTTAATATATTTTATCAAGGAAATCACTGACCTGAGAGAATGGCTTTTTCTTTCCACAGTTTATACCTCCAATGAAAACTATGTTGGGCATCACTGGCATGGGATACTCAAAAACAAAATCCATTCTTTTAAGCCAAATGGATCCATGGCTTAAGAGCTCCTTCATTGTTACTGGTCTGTGGAGGACATCTGAGGCCAGAAGTTCAAATGGCAAATAGGCAAAATTGCAAAGAAAGTATTCTAATGACTTGAGAAATAAGTTTTCCACACGCTGGATAAATGTCATGCGGTCTGAGTTGTCTGTAAATGTTCTTGGGACGTAGGAAGGGGGGTCTGGACACTGGGTAGCCTGCAAATCAAAACTGCAGGGGAGTCCTCGTAAAAAGAAAATGGATGGGATAGAGAGATGCAGAGCCAGTATTTGTCCACATGGTACAACAGGATCCGTGAGAAGAGCATCAAATTTACTCCCTTCAAGATATTGCATCAGATCCTTATTGTCCAGTAAACTGGTACAGGAGGAGACGTAGAGATGAGAGATGACTTGAACTTTTTCATAAAGCGCAGTAATTCTTTGAAGAAAAGGTCTTCTCTCAAAAAGATCATTAGCAAATGAATGCATGCTTGCTGCCAGTTCTTCCCTAGTTAACGGCACTGGATACGTTTTGAGAGTGTAATATTCAGATGCCTTCACATTCAAATTTACTTCTGGTGCGACAACGACAATTTTGTGTTCTTTCTGGCTGAGGGCCACCAGCACTGAGCGCATGCTGAGCCAGTGACTCCCATCCATTGGCACCACCAACAGCTTTCCACCATCAGCCAAGCAAAACAGAGACAGGAAAACCAAAACCCCCGCAGAAACTAAGTAACTGTATTTACTTACATGAGCCATGTTCCTAGAAATCCAAAGTCTGTTCATCTGCCCTGACCTAACAGATTTTTGGACCCACAAGCCCCCTGCCAGATTCTCGCATTCCCCCTTAACGATCTGGCTTTTCCAGCAAAACCAGTCACCAGTAACCATTCAAGGCCGTGATGAATCATTTAAGGAATGTGAGAAATCAACTTGGGTTGGGTAGAACAGGGCTTGGTATCTGAGGTTCCCTTGGGATGGGTCCTTTCTGATTGATTCCCTGTGCTGATTGATGTTAGACTGAAAACAAAATCAGGCTTTGCAAAAACAAAATCCCAAGTCTTTGAATAGTGTTGGCACTTGGAAGTAACTGGGCTTGCTGAAAGCAGATGTTAAAATGCTTTCTTCCTTTCCTTCTTTTCTGTCTTTCTTTTTGATAAGCATTTTACAGCTGCTCCGGAATGCTTGTCAAGTTTATGTTTAAATCAAATTATAAAATTATGCCACTATACAGCACAATATCTGTGCAAAACCTAAGGAGGAGGCTCTGTGATTTACATACAGCTCAGCACTGAGGCCAGGTACAGCACCAGGTACAAATTTATTACAGTAAGCAACACTGCAGCAGAATGAAAACCACCGAATCCATGCTGTTATGCATGACAGTTTTTTTGTTCTCATCCTGATTTATCTCTCTGTGCCTCTCTCGATCATTTTCTTCTTCCAGGAGCAACAGGAAGGAAAAGCCACTCGGTTCCCCTTGTGTCTAACTAAATACAGGAAAGCCTCAACAGAAGTAGCCAGTAACAGCCCTCTTGTTTCAGGCCAGAAACTTAACTTTAAACTGTAAGAGGTGGTGGCATTACTTCAGATGAAAAACTAAAAGTAAGATACCATGTCTGAGCAGTTAACAAGTACTTGTGATAAATTTGTCAACCTGCAGAATTATCTTTTGCCATTAGATGTAACTGTGTGATTCAGAGGCATATCAGATGATACCAAGAAATCAGGACTGAAGAATCAGTACTTCTGCAATAAGTATTGCTGCTTTAATGATGCTCTTTAACCTCTGAGCAAGATGAGAGTGAGCTTTGTCTTCAGAGGAGACTGATTTTAAGCTGGAGCTGCCACACAGCCTTGCCTGCAGGCAGGATTCCTCCCGCTGCTTTCCCAGAGCATCTGCGTGGGTTTGTCCCTAAGGAGCCATTAAGCAGCTCTGATGGACAGAACAGATAGGAAAAAGATCTATCCTGATAGAAGTGGCCATTGTGGGGGTTGATGGCAATTTGAAAGAGACTTTTGTGAAAAAGTAAGTTCTGAACTCTAGCAGCTCAACAGAAATAAACAGTACTTTCAACGGGCAGCATCAGGTGAATTACCAGGAGGAATAAAGCAAAGCCTGAGGGCAATTAAAGTTGGCTCTGTGGAAGATGTGCCAGGCTTGTAAAATGCAAATCTATTTTCTTGGGAAGCTTCACTCATTCATGTTCACAAAAGCCTATGAATTTGGAAGAAGAGTAGGAGTGGTGATAGGCAAGAGTAATCCATTCCCTAAGACTCAGGGAAGACTGGCAAGTTAAAAAAGTTCAAGGGAAGAATAGAGGAGAGTCTGTTTAAGTAACATTCACAAAAGATAAAACTTTATCCTTTCTAGGAAACAATGTGATTTATTGCTGAAACAGCTGGATGACACTAACTACAGATTAATCATCTGCTCAGGAGAGCTATCTCCTATCTCCTTTGCCACTTAATCTCTGGCTTCACATGAGGCTGTTCTACTCACAGCACAAGCAAGCAAGAATATATATCACGTGCAGCAACAATCTAATGTACATCATGAGCACCACCAAGCTAACATACATCACATGCATACCTTTATCAAGCACTTCTTAGGCCACAGATGTCCAAGCAACCACCCATCAACAATTCCCTACTCAAACTGGATGTCTCCTAAAAATGCAGTTGAGAATTCAGCTGTCTAGTTTTTGTGATGCAAGCTGTTGTTAGACCAAAACCTTCACCTTCGACTCAAACCCAAGACTGCCATTACAGAAAAAAGCACATGATGACATTGCACATAACCCAGTGAGTTATTTTTCTGACTGGATAAGCAGCTAATGCTCTTGAAGAAATATTCTACTGCCTCTTATGTAAGGCAAAGAATTTTTGGAAAAGTCGTTACAATTCACCTGCCCTTTTTGCATTATTTCCTGGACAAGGTGGTGTTTGTGTACCTGACTTCAGTTGGAATTAAATACAACATAGCATGCGATACGTCACCAAACAAAATCCCTATGTTGAGCAGACCCAGGGAAATGAGATGGAATCACATCGTGTTTTCCTGGTCAACTGTATCAGCCGGTTTTTCATGTGGATTGGCTATACAGAAAGCGTGAATCTAAATTATTTCTTTAGGTAAGAAATGTCCATATCAAACACAGTATTAGACCTCACCCAGACCATGCAGGTGTTATGACTGCCAGAACTTTCCTCTTTGTTACACCTTTCCCAGCCAGTCACTGACCTGAGATAATGGTTTCTTCTGTCCACAGTTTATGCCTCCAATGAAAATCATGTTGGGCATTACAGGCATGGGATAGTCAAAGACAAAATCAAGTCTCTTCAGCCAAATGGATCCATGACTTAAAAGCTGTGTAATTGTCATTGGCTTTTGGAGAAAGTCTGAAGCCAGGCTTTCAAATGGTGAAAAGACTATACTGCAGGTGAAAGACTCTGAAAGGCTGATCAGGAAGTTCTTCACTCTCTGAGGGAATGTCATATGATCTGTATTGAGTGAGAACATTCGTGGGATGTAGGACGGTGGGTCCGGACACTGAGCAGCATGAACATCTATAGCACACGGAACACCCCGCAAGAAGAAAACAGTAGGCACAGAAAAGTGCAAAGCAATTATCTGACCACAGGGTGTCAGAGGATCTGTAAAGATGGCATCAAATTTACTTTCTTCAATGTATTTCATCATCTCTTTGTTGTACAGTAAGGAACTGCAGGAAGCTTGAAACATGGCAGAGGTCTTTCTGAAATTATTCCAGGTATTCAAAAATCTCATCAGGAAGGGCTCTTCACTGAAAGAGTTTGTGCTAAGTGAGCGCATAAGTTCTTCCATCTCTTCCTTTTTGAAAGATACAGGATATGTTTTCAATTCATATATCCCTGAGGAATCTATCAGCATTTTGCTGTCTGGTGCGATGACAACTACTTCATGCCCCCTCTTGCTCAGCTCAGCCAGCACTTCCTTCATACTCAACCAGTGGCTGCCCTCCATCGGGATCACCAGCAGTTTCCCAGCAGTGGCAGGACCCAGGCAGCACAAGAAGGGGAGCAGCACAGCCACCAGCATGTTGCAAGTTGGACAGGCAAGAACCCATGCACAGAAGAGGCCAGGGGTGGTTTGCAAGCTTTTGTAGCAATGCTCCACATATGTAAACACACAACTTGGCAATGCTTTCTTCTGATACCTCTGCCCTTTTGACTTACCTCACATTTCAGGTGTTCACAAGTTTGCATGCAACAGAAGTCATGGTAGGTGATTAATGATTACAAAAGGTTGAGCTGAGATTTGTACTTCAAAAGCAGGTTTTCGTGAGCGTGAGAAAGGTGTGTCTCCTGTCATAAACTTCACTCTCCCAAGCTGAGACTACAGCTCAGTGCCTCAGCCTTCTCTTCTTCCAGTACTAGGACCACAGGCTCACAACACTTCTTACCATCAGCAAACCATCAACCTTTACTGCCATTTTATGACAGCATGCTCTAAGGTACATGGGAATCCATGAAAGCAATGTATCCACAGAGTGGATGGACAGAAACACTGCTGAGATTACCCCACATGGTAGTACTGGGTCTATAAAGAATACAGCAAAATTGCTCGTTTCTATCTCGTGTTGGAGTCCTCTGTGCCACTGAAGGCTGTCAGAGTTGTCACAGACTGTAGTAATTCGGTATTTTTTTAATAAGCTTTTTCTTTTCTAATGAAATTGAAGCAAGTAGTACAGTGAAACATAATTTATGGTAAAGCTAAATATGAAAAATCAATGTTGAAGTACCTGGGGTTTGGGTTTTGTTTTAATAACCAAAACCAGTTGGTACAATTGAGAAAAATTAACTTTTTTTTTCATCGATGCAAACCTGCATTTTTTGACCATACACAGCCAACAGAAAATCCTTCCCCATCTCCACATATACCTTCCTTATCCTATATAACCCCTTATCCTATCAGGTATAGAACTAAGTTGCAAAACAGCAGTTCACCATTGTACCTCAGTTAACATAAACCAACAACAGGTTTCTAGTTCATGAACTCACGAGTTCATGGCCCATGTCAGTTCAGTTCATGACTGAAACAGCTCATGAACTCTGTGGGGCCAGATCCTTCTCAGTTGTAAATTGCTGGGTTTCAAAATGTTGGTGATGAACCCAGGAGCACTAGAGACTGTCCTGGTAAGAGGATTGGCTCTGCCACTTCCAACCCAAGCATTTATATGGTCAAAAGGGAAAGATATTAGGGCTTTCTTCTACGCTACTCTGTTTCAGAGGTACTCACAATTTGCAATACGTGAATATCCCCTTCCTGCTTTCCAACTGCTATAGAATGTGCTGTACTTGATTCAGAGACCTGGCTGGTACCCAAAAACCTGAATGGAAATTTATAGAAGACATCCATGCCCAGAAAACCTTAAAACCTAATTAAATAGTCTATGAAAGAAGGGGAGGATATATTTTTAAAAGGTTTTCTTATGAGGGTTAGATATTGACACCTTAACATAACAGGAAAGGTGTAAATGAATCAATCTGGCAGATGGATGTGACAGAAAAAGAACGGATGAGTAGCTAAAACCTTAAGCCCTATAATCTTCAACATCTGTGAAAGGAGAATGGGTATACAGAAGTATGGACATGAGACAGCTGGAAAGGGAGGACACCATGGGGCAGACAGAGAGCAGATTGTGCTTATCAATGTTCTTCAGGCTCTTTCAGACCAATATAGCCAATTCCTCCAAGCCTGGCTTTGGTTGTAGGGA